GGTATTGTGGTATCTTGAATGAACTTCCATTTTTAATTTTCTGCAACTCCCATTTTTATTTTTATTCGGCTTCCATTTTTATTCAAGTTATTTTTCTACTCAACTTCCTTTTTTATTTAATTTCCAAATAGATCGTTAAGGTATAGTGGTTTCTGGATTGAACTTCCATTTTTAATTTTCTGCGACTTCCATTTTTATTTTTATTCAACTTCTATTTTTAATTAATTTCCAAATAAATCGTTAAGGTATAGTGGTCTCTTGAATGAACATCCAATTTTAATTTTCTGCAACTTCCATTTTTATTTCTATTCAACTTCATTTATTTTCAAGTTTCTTTTCTATTCAACTTCCTTTTTTATTTAATTTCCAAATAGATCGTTAAGGTATAGTGGTTTCTTTAATGAACTTCCATTTTTAATTTTAGGGAACTTCCATTTTTATTTTTATTCAGCTTCCATTTTTATACAAGTTATTTTTCTATTCAACTTCCTTTTTTACTTAATTGCCAAATTGATCGTTAAGGTATACTGGTTTCTGGATTTAACTTCCATTTTTAATTTTCTGCAAATTCTATTTTTATTTTTATTCAACCTGCATTTTTATTCAATTTACTTTTCAATTAAACTTCCTTTTTTTATTTAATTTCCAAATATATCGTTAAGGTATAGTGGTTTCTGTATTGAACTTCCATTTTTAATTTTCTACAACTTCCATTTTTATTTTTATTCAACTTTCATTTTTATTTAATTTACTTTTCTATTAAACTTCCTTTTTTATTTAATTTCTAAATATATCGTTAAGGTATAGTGGTTTCTTGAATGAACTTCCATTTTTTAATTTTCTGCAACATCCATTTTTATTTTTTTTCGACTTTCATTTTTATTCAAGTTATTTTTCCATTCAAATTCCTTTTTTATTTAATTTCCAAATCGATCGTTAAGGTATAGTGGTTTCTTTAACGAACTTCGATTTTTAATTTTCTGCAACTTCCATTTTTATTTTTATTTAACTTTCTTTTTTGTTCTGGTTTCTTTTCTACTCAACTTCCTTTTTTATTTAATTTCCAAATAGATCGTTAAGGTATAGTGGTTTCTGGATTGAACTTCCATTTTTAATTTTCTACAACTTCCACTTTTATTTTTATTCAACTTCTATTGTTATTCAATTTACTTTTCTATTAAACTTCCTTTTTTATTTAATTTCCAAATATATCGCTAAGGTATAATGGTTTCTTGAATGAACTTCTATTTTTAATTTTCTACAACATCCATTTTTATTTTTATCCGACTTCCATTTTTATTCCAGTCATTTTTCTATTCAACTTCCTTTTTTATTTAATTTCCAAATAAATCATTAAGGTATAGTGGTTTCTCGAACGAACTTCCAATTTTAATTTTCAGCAACTTCGACTTTTATTTCTATTCAACTTCTTTTTTTCTTCAAGCTTTTTTTTATTCAACTTCCTCTTTTATTTAATTTCCAAATAGATTGTTAAGGTACAGTGGTTTCTGGATTGAACTTCCCTTTTTAGTCTTATGCAACATTCATTTTTATTTTTATTCAACTTCCATTTTTATTCAATTTACTTTTCTATTAAACTTCATTTTTTTTTAATTTCCAAATAAATCGTTAAGGTGTAGTGGTTTCTCGAATGAACTTCCATTTTTAATTTCATGCAACTTCAATTTTTATTTTTATTCGACTTCCATTTTTGTTCAAGTCATTTTTCTATTCAACTTCCTTTTTTATTTAATTTCCAAATTGATTGTAAAGGTACAGTGGTTTCTTGAATGAACTTCCATTTTTAATTTTCTGCAATTTCCATTTTTATTTTTATTTAACTTCTTTTTTTATTCAAGTTTGTTTTCTACTCAACTTCCTTTTTTATTCAAATTCCAAATAGATCGTTATGGTATAGTGGTTTCTAGAGTGAACTTCCATTTTTAATTTTCTATAACTTCCATTTTTATTTTTATTCAACTTCCATTTTTATTCAATTTACTTTTCTATTAAACTTCCTTTTTTATTTAATTTCCAAATATATCGTTAAGGTATAGTGGTTTCTGGAATGAACTTCCATTTTTAATTTTCTGCAACTCCCATTTTTATTTTTATTCGGCTTCCATTTTTATTCAAGTTATTTTTCTACTCAACTTCCGTTTTTATTTAATTTCCAAATAGATCGTAAAGGTATAGTGGTTTCTTTAATGAACTTCGATTTTTAATTTTCTGCAACTTCCATTTTTATTTTTATTTAACTTTCTCCTTTGTTCTGGTTTCTTTTCTACTCAACACCCTTTTTTATTTAATTTCCAAATAGATCGTTAAGGTATATTGGTTTCTGGATTGAACTTCCATTTTTAATTTTCTGCAACTTCCATTTTTGTTTTTATTCAACTTCCATTTTTATTCAATTTACATTTCTATTAAACTTCCTTTTTTAATTAATTTCCAAATAGATCGTTAAGGTATAGTGGTTTCTTGAATGAACATCTAATTTTAATTATCTGCAACTTCCATTTTTATTTCTAATCAACTTCTTTTATTTTCAAGTTTCTTTTCTATTCAACTTCCTTTTTTATTTAATTTCCAAGTAGATCGTTAAGGTATACTGGTTTCTGGATTGAACTTCCATTTTTAATTTTATGCAACTTTCACTTTAATTTTTATTCAACATCCATTTTTATTCAATTTACTTTTCTATTAAACATCCTTTTTTTATTTAATTTCGAAATAGATCGTTAAGGTGTTGTGGTTTCTTTAATGAACTTCCATTTTTAATTTTATGGAACTTCCACTTTTATTTTTATTCAGCTTCCATTTTTATACAAGTTATTTTTCTATTCAACTTCATTTTTTATTTAATTTCCAAATTGATCGTTAAGGTATAGTGGTGTCTTGAATGAACTTCCAGTTTTAATTTTCTGCAACTTCCATTTTTATTTTTGTTTAACTTCCTTTTTTATTCACGTTTCTTTTCTACTCAACTTCCTTTTTTATTTAATTTCCAAATAGATCGTTGAGGTATAGTGGTTTTTGGATTGAGCTTCCATTTTTAATTTTTTGCGACTTCCATTTTTATTTTTATTCAACTTCTATTTTTAATTAATTTCCAAACAAATCGTTAAGGTATAGTGGTTTCTTGAATGAACATCCAATTTTAATTTTCTGCAACTTCCATTTTTATTTCTATTTAACTTCTTTCATTTTCAAGTTTCTTTTCTATTCGACTTCCTTTTTTATTTAATTTCCAAATCGATCGTTAAGGTATACTGGTTTCTGGATTGAACCTCCATTTTTAATTTTATGCAACTTTCGCTTTTATTTTTATTCAATTTACTTTTCTATTAAACTTCCTTTTTTATTTAATTTCAAAATAGATCGTTAAGGTATAGTGGTTTTTTTAATGAACTTCCATTTTTAATTTTAGGTAACTTCCATTTTTATTTTTATTCAGCTTCCATTTTTATACAAGTTATTTTTCTATGCAACTTCATTTTTTATTTAATTGCCAAATTGATCGTTAAGGTATACTGGTTTCTGGATTTAACTTCCATTTTTAATTTTCTGCAACTTCCATTTTTATTATTATTCAACCTGCATTTTTATTCAATTTACTTTTCAATTAAACTTCCTTTTTTATTTAATTTCCAAATATATCGTTAAGGTATAGTGGTTTCTGGATTGAACTTCCTTTTTTAATTTTCTACAACTTCCATTTTTATTTTTATTCAACTTCCATTTTTATTCAATTTACTTTTCTATTAAACTTTCCTTTTTATTTAATTTCCAAATAGATCGTTAAGGTTCAAGGTTTGGAAGCAAAAGGGTTGAGTCTCGAGGCTGAGAGCGATCCTAAGCTGCACAATCTCAAGAGCAATTCCACACAGATCTTCGTAGAACCACGCAAAACATATTTTGAAATCTTTTAAGAAAACGACTAATCGCTCGCATCGATGACAATGTAGAACCAATCTGGATCAAGCTAGGATCCTTCTCAGTACTCAAGTTTAAAATTAGAGAATCATTTGTAATTATGTAAGTAAAGTAGTTGTTGAATATGTCAGTAAAGTACCTTTTGTTGATCAGACATGATGGTCCATGGTCTTGAAGGGAGTGCATCTTCCATGATTGTTCTCAAGTTGTGCAAGAAAAAAGACCAACTGTCCTTGCATTCACCCTTTACTACTGCCAATGCTAATGGAAACAAGCCATTATTTCCATCTAAGGCAACTGCTAAAATTAAAACACCACCATAGGGACCCTTCAAGTGACAACCATCTACCCCTATGAATGGCCTACATCCATTAATGAACCCTGCTTTCATTGCATCAAATGATATGAAAATTCTTTGGAACAATGAATATTGAGGAATGGTAGGGTTTGGTTCTTCTCCATCTTCTGAGACTGGGGTAGAGGGTATGTCATAATTTATGACCACCAAGCTGCCAGGGTTTGTTTTGTTGATTTCCTTAACATATGTTGGCAACAACACATATTGGCTCACATGATCACCCTCCAGCTCCTCCTTGCACCTCCTTCTGGCTCTATACAATTGCATTCTTGAAGCCTCAATCCCAAACATTTTATTTAGTTTCACTTGCATGGTATCTAAGCCCATGTGTGGATTGTCCTTAAAACTTTCAACCATTTTTTTAGCAATCCAAGTTGAAGTAGGTTCAGTGCTTGTGTTCATCCTGCTACATGTTTGAGTAGGTACTAAGGTTTTAATCTTGTAGGTGATTCCATCTGGAAGTGGAGATGCATGAATTCTCCAAGGGCAGCCCTCAGCAGCACAATGGGCTGTTACTTTAGACTTCTCATTTTTGTCTCTTACTATCTTGAAACCAGTTTGCACTGTATATAGCCATCTGATTGGTTTTCATCCTCAGCAGTTGCATTCCAATCCCTATCCTCATCACTAAACCCATAAACGTTGTCCTCATGGTACTCTTCATCTACATCTACAGTATGGTAGTCTTGCTCTACATCTACAGCATCTACTCCATGATTTTCATTTCCAACATTAATGTAGCCCTGAAAGTATTCACTTCTGGAAAAATCATCCCTTCTTCCAATACAACTTCTCCATCTTGATTCATATATGGCTCTTTGCCATTGTAGGTATCATCATACTTCATGCTTGGAAAGCTCATCTCTTCATCATCTAGACAGTCTGCTTCATCATCATAATCATCATCAGTAGTAGAATATGGCACTTCATCATCACCAGATTGGTAATCACTAAGTTTAGCATCATCATCTTCACTTGAGCACTCATTATCATCATCACTCAAAATCTCATAGCCATCTGATTGGTTTTCATCCTCAGCAGTTGCATTCCAATCCCTATCCTCATCACTAAACCCATAAACGTTGTCCTCATGGTACTCTTCATCTACATCTACAGTATGGTAGTCTTGCTCTACATCTACAGCATCTACTCCATGATTTTCATTTCCAATATCACTTTTATGTCCACCATCACTCATTCCAATAGAATATGCTATGTCTACATACAAGTTAATTGTTTTACTCCTACCTTGCACATAAAACATGTCTAGCACATCAAGATCATTTTCTACTAATCTCCTTGTGTCAGTACCAGGCATATCACAACGCCATGTGATTGCTATTGCTTCACTACAAGAAATATGAGAGAGGACTGTTGCAATTACATCATTCAAGGCATCAATGTAGCAATACATATTTGGGTCCACATCATACAGTCTTCCCACTTTCCCTTTGTAGTTGATGATTAAATCAAAATAAGGAAATGCAGCCATGCTGTGATCATAATGATGCACCAATTAATTCCTAACATGTACTGTACTTAACAATTAACTGAATAAAAGGGGGAAAAAAAATGAAGAAAAGCCCTAATAACACTATAATGAAGAAAAGCCCAAATTCACAAGAAAAATAAGAAAAATGATGTAAAAATTAACTCCTAAGAAGTATTGTACTCAACAATTAACTGAAGAAAATATGAAAACATGAAGAAATCCCTAAATTACACTATAATTATACTAATATTAAACAATCATAAGTAAAACCCAAAAAATCAGAAATTCATTCTAAACATACATCTCATGAATAACACTTAGAAAATCAGAAATTCATAAATTTTCAACAAATTCCTTTTTTTCCAATCAGAAATTTTGCAAATCAAATAAAATCTTTTTTTTTTCCAATCAGAAATTTTGCAAATAAAATAAAAGCCCTAAACATATATCTCATAAATAAAATAAAAAAAATCAGAAATTTATATTAAATCCCTACATTACACTATTCTTATAGTAATATTCAACAAATTCCTTTTTTCCAGTCAGAAATTTTGCAAATAAAATATAAACTCTAAATATATATTTTCGAAGAAAACCATTTTCACATACATTTCATCAAATCAAACACAGAATAGAAACAAATTTGTAAAAAAAAAGATGGAAAAAAAAAATTGAAAATCATCAACACAAATTAATCATATTCGAAGCTTACTGAGTTCGAAATGTTACCTGGAAGCCGTAACAGCAACTTCTCACCGATGAAACTCTTTTACATTGTGTACTGGCAACGACGATCGGTTCAAAATCGAATAGCTTCTTCGTTTTCTTCACACAGATCAACCTTGCTTTACGTTCTTACTGTCACCTCCCTCTCTCTCTCTTCTTTCTCTAAAGAATTCGATTTGTATTGTGAATGTATTGATTAGGGATTTTGTGAACAAAGGGCTTTTTGGTCTTTTTGCAAGCAAAAGCAAGGGTAACATGGTCATTTTCTATTGGATACTAACGTCGTTTGTGCAAAATAGATGGAATGGAGAAATCTTAACATTGTTAGGTAAAGTAGGGGGATTACTGTAATTATTCAAACCACAGGGGAGGTCCCTGTATTTGTCAGAAACCTCAGGGGAGATAAATATAATTTACCCAAAATAAATTATTTGATATGTGTAAAATTAAATTTAAAATTTATTATTTACAAATTGTATGTATTAATTTTTATATTGTGGTGATGGCGGTGATAGTGATGAGGTGATGGTTATGGTGGTGGTAGTAGCGACAGTGTTGGTAGTGGTAGCGGTGGCAATGATGCGGTGATGGTGGTATGATGGTAGTGGTAGGGGTGAGCATGGTTCAGATTGGGGTAAAACCAGGACCGATCCGTTATCTACGGTTCCTAAAAAATTAGAACCAATCCAATCCATTTAAATTTTAGAACCAATTTGAACCAATCTGTTTAAACACGGTTGGATCGATTTAAGACCACCGATTCACATAATTAAATAACAAAAAAAATATAGAACATTTTAATTTCTAAAACTAGAAATCCATTGAAGAAAAGATCAACAAAGATGAGATGAACAATCGATTTGAGAGTGTAGAGTTCACTGAACATCTTTGATTTGAGATTAAATCCACCGATCTGGCATGAAATCTACAAAAAAAAAAATAACAGTGTTAGAGAGAGAAAGCTCACTGAGAGAGAGAGAGAGAGAAGGGGGGAGCTTAATAAGTCTGAGATGAAATCCACAAAGAGAGAGAGAGAGAGAGAGAGCTTACTGAGTCTAAGAAAAAACCAAAAAAAAAAAGTAGAGTGTCACCGAGAGATAGAGAAAGAGACCAAGCCACGATTTGAGCTCACCGATCTGATTTGAGATGGATTATCTGAGATGAAATCACAAGAATAAAGAGAGAACTTAGTTTGAGGAAGAGAAGAGAGAGAGCTGACTGCGAACAGACCAACAAAAACAGTGTGAGAGAGAGAAAGAGAGAGAGAGAGAGACAAGCTGCTATCTGAGCTCACCAATCTGATCTGATATGGATTATCTAAGATGAAATCACAATAATAGAGAGATAACTCAGTTTGAGAAAGAGAAGAGAGAGAGAGCTGACTGCGTCTGAGAGTGAGAGTGAGAACAAACCAACAAAAATAATGACCGAGAGAAAGAGAGAGAGAGCTCACTGAAAGAGAGACAAGCCGTGATCTGAGCTGATCTGAGATGAAATCACAAGAATAGAGAGAACTCAGTCTGAAAAAGAGAAGAGAGAGAGAGAGAGAGAGAGAGAGAGAGAGATAGGAGTTTGAAAGACAGTGAGTGGCGCGTGATATGTTGAATTAGGGTTTAGCTTTTATATGAAACAAGAAATGATATTATGTGGAAGGGTATATATTATAAATATAGACTATTTGTATATAGTTCGAATCGGTTCCAACCAGAAATCGTGGAGTTTAATTCGAAACTAATCTATGGCTTACGGATTTTTAAATTTCTAATCTAAAACCAAACCACGAATTCAAAAAACTAATCCAAACCTACCGGATTAGACTGGACAGGATCGGATTATGAATTATGCATATTCCTTGCTTAGCCCTAAGGGGTGGTGGTGGTAGTGATAGCGGTGGCAATGACATGGTGGTGGTGGTAGTGGTGGCTGTGGATAATAGTGGCGGTAATGGTAACAGTGGTGGTGGTCGTGGTACTAAGTTTATAATAATATATCAATGTTTATGTTTCGTTTTTATAAATTCAATCAGAATAAAATAAGTTTAATATGACCTAAATTTTTTCTAAGTTTTAGCTTATGTTTTAAGAGACATTTAAATTTTTAAATGATATCAATTGTGATTATTAAACGGACTTAATTGATTATCACTTGGGCTTGGTTTGGTATAATAAAAAAAAGTCAAAAAGTCACTATTCTATTTAAGTCACATCATTTCTCTACCACATCACTTCAAACCTAACCCATATTTCATAAAAAGTCAAAAAATACACTTATTTAGTTTATCCCAAACAACCCTTTAATCAATTCAATTTTAAATGTTGAATCAATGTTATTAAACACCAAGCATTAGAATTGAAACATGTTCCAATTTTAACAAGTTCTCAATTTATGCTTGTTACACTAATCTTGTTTGCACCGCTCCAATTTTATCAAATGTCTCCAAAGGAACTCCAAAACATGTTCCAAATGTTATTCTTGTTTGTCACAGGAGAGAATAAAAACCAAAATGGATTATTCATTTATGATAAAATTTATCACCAATTATTCATCTATTTGGAGTAAAGGAAACATATAGAGAAGGCATAGAAAAAAACAATTGAAATTTAATGAAAAAAGAGGCAATGGATTTTGGCAAAGTACATGGATCCGAGAGATGTCCAGATCTACTATAGAATTTTCCAACAAACAAATCTTTACTATTGAAAATAACCACATGTAGGATTCCAAATGTATTTTACTTTCCATTCCTCTGTTTTTCTCAGGAACAAACACAGAGATGATTATGAGAACAATGCCAAAAGTCAGTAAATTGAAATCTGTAAATAAAGCACAAAAAAAGAATTGATTTCTTAGGTAGCAATAGGCATTACATCTTCAAACCCAAGAAATCAAGCACATGAGAAATCAAACCCAAGAAATCAATCACAAAATAGAAGGGTTTGAAGGGTTTTACCTTGTTGCCGCCGTAGCCCTTAACCTCCTTGGTTTTGCTTTCGCCTCTCCGTTCGCCTCTCTCTGTTTTCAGGATTAGGGTTAGCAAATGAGAGAGAAAAGAAAAGAAGGGGAAACTAGGGGTGAGCATGGTCCGGATTGGACCGGATTGGGGTAAAACCAAGACCAATCCGTTATTTACGGTTCCTGAAAAATTGGAACCAATCCAATCCGTTTAAATCATGGAACCAATCCATTTAAATACGGATTGGATCGGTTTAGGACCACGGATTCACATAATTATATAACAAAAATATATATATATAACACTTGAATTTCATAAAAATATAAACATAGCGCTATATTAGTTCCATAATAGCAACATGTTTTTCTATAATAATGACATACTGTTCTAGAATTTAAACAACCATAAGAAAACTGGTTTCACCATAAGTATTTAGACCATTGCAAATTAAAACTTAAAACTAACAAACAAAAGTAATAAAAGAAGATATTATACGGTTTTAGGTTTGAGCTTACATTTTACATAGAATAAGAGAAGATACTATAGGGGAGGATGTATAATAAAAATATAGACTATTTGTATACGGTCCGGATCGGTTCTAATCCGGAACCGTGGGATTCAATCCGGAACCAATCCGTGAACTACGGATTTTTAATTATTCAATCCGGAACCGAACCACGGATTCAAAAAACCAATCCAAACCTATCGGATTGGACTGGACTGGATTGGATTACGGATTTCACGGATTCCTTGCTCAGCCCTAGGGGAAACGGAAAATGAACAAAAAAAATAGCTGTGTTTGGTTGTGCTTTTGAAATGTGATTCTACATGCTAGTTTCAGCTCCATGTTTGGTAAGAGTTTTGGAATTAATTTTCCAAAACTCTGTTGAAAGCTCTGTCCATTCTGCGCGTTTCTTGTATTTTTTTTGGCCAGGGGAAGACCACCCGGTCGTCCCTAGGGACTACCACCCGGACGTCCTTGGGGACATCCACTTGGATGTCCTCTGTTGTACAGATTTTTTTTTTTTTTTTTTTTTTTTTTTTTTTATTAAAAAAAAAAAAAAAAAAAAAAAAAAAAAAAAAAAAAAAAAAAAAACAAAGAGGCAGAACTGCACACCAAACTCATTTTATTCATGTCGGGGCTCCCCCCGGTCACCATTTTACACCAAAAAAAAAAAAACAAACCTATCGGATTGGACTGGACTGGATTGGATTACGGATTTCACGGATTCCTTGCTCAGCCCTAGGGGAAACGGAAAATGAACAAAATGACACCGTTTTGGCTGTACCGCGGAAGCCTGGTAGGATAATCCAGCAAAGGATCTGAACTCGAAGGTTGAACCTCTATCTTTGTCATTTTTTTTTGATTTTGGGCCTTTAAATATAATTTTAGGCTATTTACATAAAAATCTCGTAAACTACTGAGAAGTATTACTTTAATTTCTCAAATTATAAAAAAGTGCAAATAAACCTTATAAACTAGAGGAAATATAATTTTTCTTTCTAAATTATCACGCATTTTTCACGTTGATCCCCATACTTCGATTTATTTCAATTTAGTATTTGAACTGTCCACAAATTGATCAATTAAATCCTTGCCGTCACCTTCCATCCACAATTGGACAGAATGTACTGATGTGGAGGGCAAACTGATTTTTAAAGTATAATTTGGGGGGCAAATTGATTTTTAATTTGGGGGTAAATTGATTTTTAAGGTATAGTTTGGGGGTATAAAATGAAATTTTAAATGTCACGTCACCACATTCTGTCCAATTGCAGATGGAAGGTGACGACAGGGTCTAATTGATCAATTTGTGGAAAGTTCAAGTACTAAATTGAAATAAATCGAAGTACGGGAGTCAACGTGAAAAACGCGTGATAGTTTAGAGGGCAAAATGATATATTCTCCATAAACTATTCAGAAGTGTCATTTTATCTCTTAAACTATAAAAGTGTACAAATAAACCCCATAAACTATAAAAATGTATAGATTAGATGTCTTTATGGAAGGAGCCAAAATGATGCGTGCCAATAATTTAGAGGATCCATTTGTATGCTTTTATAATTTAGGGGGCAAAACGATACTTTTCAATAGTTTATGGAGTTTATTTATACACTTTTATAGTTTAGGGGGTTGAAGTGATACGTTTTAATAGTTTATGAGGTCTTCATGTAATTTTTTAATAATTTTTTATATATTAATAATTTTTTTTTAGATGTACTTAATTTAGACCTATTTAAAAAGTAAAATATTCGGTAAAAAATATTTTAAAAATTCACTAAATAAAAAAATAAAATAAAATATAAATTCCGCATCTTTTCATAATTTTTGTGTTTATTGAATTTTTTTTTTTGACTTCTTCCCAAATATTTTACATTTTAGCTGCATATAAGTTAGATGCATCTAAAAAAAAATTGATTGAAACATGACCAAAGTTTACTTAAGACAACAAAATAGGAAAAAACAAAACTTAAAATTTGTATTTAAAAACTCAAGACAAAATGTATTATTATTATTATTACTATTATTTTATTATTATTATTTTTAGATAGGGCATGCCATTTTTTTTTAGTTACAGGAAAATCCTCTCACCCTCCCGCAGGTCCAAGGCAGCGCCCCATGAGGAGATCACCAGGGTGTCCTGTTGTCCGTTCCGAGTAAGAGACTATAACCTGGAAGCTTGTCCCGACCTCCCAAGACAAGCTCCGATTAAGTCAGGACTCGCATAGCGGGGGAGCATTAAACCCACACCAAGTAGCTGATTAGGCATCCTTGAGGTCCAACCTCCTAACCAACAGTGCTTCGCCCAGGAGATTGGCCCAAGGGGGGGAATTGAACTTGTGACCTTGGGGCTTAAACCCCAAGGCATGCCATATTTAGATGGGTAAGTATTGGATGTAATGGTGACTATTATTATTATTAATTTTTTTTAAGGATAATGTACAATCAAGTCCTGTTTTGACAATTAATTTTAGCTTAGGTCCTACTCATATAACTTTAAACTTATAAATCCTATGTTAATTTTATATGACCAATTTGCCCTCACGAATTGAAAACTTGAAACATTTTATTCCTCGCACTCTCTTTGACTCTCTCTCTCTCTCTCTTACTCTTTCGTTTGTCTCGCCACTCTCTATAATTCTTTCAACTTTTTCACTTCATACATGCAGAACATAGCAGACCCATAAAGCAAAGCACACATGGCAGCAACCTCACTTCTACTTGTCAATTTTCCTCTTAGCCTCTTCATCTCCCTCCCTTAGTTTCCAAACAATAGTGTTTTCTTCACAGACCCAATTCTTAACTTGATCCCAACCTAGACCTAGAATCAAACTAATCCGTCTATCAATCGTCAAATCTTAGACCGATGATGTTCGGAGGAAGGAAGACATAGTCATCATTGCCCATCGTTTCTCGCCTCGTCGTTATCTCTCACCGTCATGACCCAGTCATGTCTATCTGGGACTACATCTGGAGATTTCTAGATCTGGAAAGTGTAGAAAGAGGAGGATGAAGGTGAGGGCAAGAAAGAGAGAGTGGATTGATAATATTCTCAATTTTAACCTTGAAAAAAATTGAGAAATTTCTTAAAACTGATAATATTCTTAATCAGTACTGGAGAAAACTGAAAAAATTTCTTAATTTTGGTAATTCTAAACTGCAATCATTCTTAGTTTTAAAATTGAGAACATTCACAATTCCAAAACTGAGAACATCATAGTTCTTACCTACAAACTCCAGATCTTAAATTCAACATTCTTAATTTTGATATTCAATTTTGTTACATTGCTTCTAAGTTTATTAAGTCATTATCATTCAACTTACAAATTGACGTGATCTATCAAAAGGGTAAGAACATCAATTGTATTTCAAAATGAGACTTTTGCGTCTAAAAACTTTTACATAGGACTTAAGCTACCACACTTGTTGTCATTAGAACTTTTAAATAATTAATTCTTTTTTTTTTGACTGTATTATTACCAAAAAAAAGTCAAAAGTTTTGATGAAATCAATCTTATATTGTAATTAATCAACCGCATAATTTCATATGAGTTCATTTAAAATTATTCATTAATTAACGATATAATGATGCTATATGACAATATCACCTATTACATCCAATATTTAAAGAGACAAAGAATTTTCATAAAATGACAATGACTATATTTATTAAAATAATAAATCTATGGATGCAAAATTAACAACGCAAAAATAAGTGGAACAATCTAAATAAAAATCTATATTCTTATGATATGTATTGTCAAGTTTATCTTAGGGGTAAACACACCTCTTTGAAAATCTAAAAAATTAATTACTTATTGATGAAAAATATTATTTTATATTTTAATATTTGTAAAGTTTATTATTAATTAGTAAATATTTTTTCAAACCTATACTGATATATAACCTTTCCATTATCTTAAGTCCTATTGTTTTGAAAATGTATTGGTTTATTTATCTTATGTAGTTACTTTATCTTAATTATATTTTAATGCTTGTAAACCCCTCCTCCCCTTTTTCCTTAGGATCATATAAGTCTTATTATTTTCAAAAGGCATTTCATAAGATCTTTTTAGATTTCTTTATATCATATCAAGATTTTTTTACCCTTTTATTTGTAATTGTTTCACATTCCGCCAGTTAGGGGACCAATCATATGTTATAGAAGCCCTTAGACCCCATTTGTTTGGGGTTATAGGAAGGGGATTGAGACTACTAATACCTTGATATTACTAATACTTTATTTGTTTTGAGAGATGACCTTGGGACTACTAATACCTTGACACCATGTTTGTTTGGGCGGACTGGATTAGCATTCCCATGATTAATAGTCTTAGGACTACGAATCCGTTGGATTATGTATCCTATCTTAACTAATAGTCAAGTTTAAAATAATTAGTCCGTACTTCAATTGTTTAACCAAACATCGGATTAATAATTTTATTGGACTATTAGTCCAATCCCAAGTTCATATCCACCCAAACAAACATGACCTATATTACTAATACCCTTGGAAGGGGGATTCATAGTGAGAAGGTAGATATGGTATTAGAAAAATAGTGAGGGGATTAGAAATTTTTTTATTATTTTTTATTTTTTATA